GCTTCACACGGCTTGAGCCGACAGGGAGCAAATGACCATATTGATGGCAAGTGAACATATTGATATTCCATTCATAGTTGTTCGCCCATCTTATCGTTTCGTGTTCTCCCTAGTGTATAACTTAATAACGCAAAACCAACACTCAGTCGGGCTATTGCAGCCTCACAGTCTTTCGTTCACGCAATAAAAAATCACCACCTTCCGAAGATCCTCTAGTCGGCATAATCAACGCTTGCGGCTTCTGCTCAACAGGCGAACGTGTCGCTGATTGGGATTTTACAGCCTCCTTCTCCTTGGAGGGCATAGCGTTGACCAAGTTGGGGTCAGCATCGGCTTGCAGGACGTGGGATAAAGGCTGCTTGCCGGCCTTGTACCTGACGAGCAATCGAAGTCTAAGGCGTTGTCAGCTCACGTAGTAATACGATATCTTGGGGAGCTCCAGTGCTGCCTCACGGAAGCGAAGGGCGGCTACTGACGCCTGAAGCAAAGAACGATGAAGCGGTGAACTGAAAATGACTTACCCCGTGCACCGCAGAAAGAGTTGTATGGATGCCTTTCACCTGGTCCTCCGTCGGGGTCTCGAATTCACGATTGTATGCCTCCATCATCCTCTCTAAGTCGATCAACCGGTCTAGACATAGCAAGGCAACAAACCTAAGAACAACAACAATTAGATGCTTTCCGAGGGAACTACTCGGTACCTCTTGAATTGGACGTCGTCCTTGGCCTTTACCATCACATCTGTGTGAACAACAACATCCACGAGAACCTGCGTCGAGACGATTTTCTCACAGCGGCAGAAGAAAAATCCTACGCGCTTCCCGATGGCCTTATCGGTTGCTTTCATATCCTCACGGCGCTGACCTATAGAGACCGGTATGAATGCGGTTTCGAGTTCCTTAGTCGGTTTGCCCTCCCGAGTCTGTGGTGGTAAAACTCTGAGCAGGTACGACATTTTTTTTGGATGGAGGCAAGTCGTTTACCTGTAGTCGTAGCAAACATTCACATAGAACTCTGCGAGAGGCTTTCCCTTCTCATCCCGCGCTTGCATGTCCACTCCATTGGTGCATTTCTCCAATATTGTCTTCACCACAAAACCTAACGTCCGCCTTCGATCTAGCCTGTAACGACACGATCAGCTCACCTGGCTTTGGGACGAACTCTGGAGTTCCTTTAGGAGGATCCTTCATTCCCTCGACATTTTCCTTCATCGGTCTGTCCTCCACTTCGCCACCTCCAAGATTGAGCTTAAGGAGACCTGGTATTAGGCTTTCTGGATCCTCCAAGCCCAACAGCGCTGAGGAGTGCTGCTGGTGAGACATTATCACTATAATGACAAAATGAACCCTCTAATTCAGCATCACTATATCGTTCATTACTGAACTCGGCACTGAGATTGACCGCCGTATAAACTTCTGTAGTAACCGAGCTGACAGCAATGTAGATGGCAAGCATACAAGATGAGTATTGAACACTATTCTTGAAAACTGCCTTGCAATGATTCTTCAATCTCCATGTTGATTCTCAATTATTTCCATCACCATCAGGCCATGGATGTATGTTCTCCAGCGTTTCCTCTGTGACTGAGCCTCGTTTCCCCGAACGGGCTGCTGCAAGTCGACTACATCCCATGGAGGCATTGCTGGTAGAAGCGACCAAGACGATAAAAGTAACGCACCGAAAGAGGGAAGTCTCTGCGATCGCCGAGGCGGGACGGCCGTGATACTATCACTTCTTGGCCGACTCCAGCTCCATCAGAAAAAAAAGTGCCGAATCCGATAGCCCTCCGAAACGGCGTTGCCAACTCCGACTCGTATAGTTTATCCGTAAAATCCCGAATGCCTTCATCCCCCAAGATGCAATTCGCCGGTTTCAGTTTGGAGCATTGGCGCTCTAATTGAAGTAGACCGAGGTGACGCCGCTCCACCCTATTACAACTCTCGCCTGTTCCAGTTTTCCTACTGAATCCACGTAGAATACTCTCACTGTTGGAAACTATCTCTTGAGGATCCCGTCCCTCAATCTACTAGTACCAAGATCCTTCATGACTGTGCAGGCGGCCCTCGATGATGTTACCACCGCCTTCATCACTTCATCCGGTTTACCTATTACCAATCATCTTAACCTCATCAACAGCCAGAGAATAAGCTCATGGACCCTCCGAAGATCCTCACTGCCCACAAACGATACGCCGGAGAAAAACATAATAGTATAACTACTGCAAGCCCAACTCCACCACCACCATAGTGATGTGCTCCCATTTGCTTCAACGTCACTCAGACGTAAACCGCAAAAGCTTATTTCTAATTCATGAGCCCTCCCCGCAGTTGCAACATTGGCACCTTCACACTCTGTCGAATTGCAATCGCTCGATCTGCTCCAGCACTGCTTTCTTGTAAGTCATATAACCAACAGCTGTTCATACTACCATTACACAACTCCAATTCACAACGCAAAATATCAATACTATAAGAAGAATAGTGTTGTTACTCCAACTGCCGTATCGATGGCATCAAAGCTACACGATAGTATCCTATAAGCTCCTCCGTCCGCATCCACGATGCAGCTTTATACAAACGCAGCAGTTCCGAAGACTCCTCGATTGAATGTACATTGTTCATCATTATCAAAAGTAAACTGAAGGCCCACTTCAAAGCGGTAGACCGCTCGATTGTGAGCTCGACGACGCCGAACCGCCGCCCGTAGAGAATAGATTCTTCACTGTTGACATCGCAGCACCTCCTATCATCGTGAGAGCCCGCGTGCCTGACACAGCGCTCTATCAAAGAACTGTCTCACACAGAAAGGGCATTACCTCCGGGTATATAGCTGACGAGGAAGTATGCAAGAGCGACCACTTGAACGAGGGAAAAAACAACCGTGAGGATGTACGACTTGCTCACTAGAGCACCATATAGCGTCGCCACCAGGGAAGCCACATAACCCGCCGTGAAAACGCGCTTCTCCGGTGACATAATGTGAGCTATGAAAGCCGCATGCCCCTAGGAGATGAGAAATAACCACAACACGGACGGCGAATCAGAACGACTTACCTTCAGCACCGAAAAGCTTGCCAAAATCAGGCAGCTACCCACAGTGAACATAAGAGCGAACTTCTGTGGCGCGATGACGACCTACAAGAAAGTTGAGACTCCAGGTCTAGATACAAAGAAAATCACAAAACAGAGTTTTTTCGAGAGGGTAAATTTCAAAAATCCCAAAAATTCCAAGTGACGATTTACAGAAATCGGCAGCGAAGTGTTGGGACTTTCCTAGTCAGGCTCAGTCGAAGACCCACAAGGCGGCGCATCAGTACTACCATTGGTAGGAACGTCAGAGCCAACATCATGCATATGCAGCCCGCAGCGAACAACATGATGAACTTCCCTATCATGTCACGAGTCGATGCGATACCCTGATCTCAATGATGTTCGAACTGGAACAGATGATACTCACCGTAGCCTGTTGCTTCATCCCTTGGAAGGCTTGCGAACCAGACTGCATTGCTGAGTTAGTCCACTGTGAGAAGAGGCCGACATTCTCCTCAGCTGAAGAGCACAAATAAGCCTTGCGAACCCCGAGCCCAGAGCGCTACAGTGAGGGAAAATATGCACATGCTTTGGTGACAATATAAAACTATTGAGAAGTTTTGGGAAATTCTTGTTCGTTCCTGAACTCTCCTACCCGAATTCGTATTTTAACTAGTGAGCTCAGGTGAGGGAAGCGTACATATATTCCAACAGTGGAGCGCTATCTCGTACAAGGACGACAGTAGGGATGCTATGTGATGACTCATACTACCTGATGCGTTAGGGGCAGTCGAACTCTGCGAAGAGGGTTGTCCACTACTCTTCACTTTTCCCAACTCCAAATCGAACGCTGACAACGAAAATATAACTCCATCATAATGGAGCCACGCGATGGGCTATGAAAAATACATATTTTCATACCGTAAACTCGACAACTCCTAGCCATGCACATTCCACTGAACAGTGCAAGGTGTTCCCATCTCGCTATCAAGAAGCACGATTTCCATGTTCTATCACAGCCCGAAGGTAACTCTATTGCCATACCCTACACCTACGCGGGTCTAACACCTCCAACCTACTGTCCAAGCCATCTGTCTTAGTAGACGTCGATGCTCCAGTAGCTCCTGATGCTGCATCCTTGACGGTATTCATAGCTCCAGCGATTGCACTTGATATCGCACCAAGGACGACTGGCGCGTTAGTTTGTATGCTTTGACCTGATCAGTGCAATCTGCCTTCCTACTCTACATCCCCCTTCTGTCTAAACTATGCGTACTACTAAAATTTATATTGCGAAGTCCACACAACCTCAGCTACTATAACTCGCTGAACTACTCAAGCCAGAATACTTCTCCAACGGTCGTTCCATTTTCGCGGTCTATACAACTCCACGATGAAGTTGCCTTGTACCGTTGAATCAAACCACAAGGGCCTTCCCAAGGACCCGACCTGTTATTACCTGCCCGTTTGCCCAAATTGACCATTTTATCCTGATTGGACAGAACGGGTGGCGCCGCCGAGGAAGAGTAGAACTGCAGTGTAGAAGCAAAGTCCGGGCTATTGCTCTGCGCAGTTGAGGTTGCCATAGTGAGGTACAAAAGCTCTACCTATCAGCACTCTTTCAACTTGACAGGTGATCCCGCAGGGAGATCATCAAGTTTATTCCGTTCATGGTTAGTGAAGATTCCCAACACAACTGTGGCATGGAGCTCGCCGAACTCGGTGTCGGCATAAGGTGTCCCGTGTGTCAGCTCAAACTATCAGTGAGCAGAAAAAGAACGTAAGTGACCAGCAAGAAAGAACGGACAGGGGCAAAGCCGCGCAAAGCCACGTTCAAGTACGATACCTCTCACGATCTCGAACCGACTAGCTGTTCCTCACGATGCAAGGTTATAAGTGTGAGCATTCATCACACGAGAATCACGATAAATCCGTGGCGATCTGGCAATCAAACCAACTGATCACTAATACAGCAAAACTTGTGAACACAAAACCTTGAGGAGCAAGTCGGCAAAACCTCAGACCTTCTTCACTTTGGGACCACATGCACTTCTAGTGTCTATCACTAGGCAAACGAACACTATCGCGTTGAGTATATAGTTTGTGGAACACACGACACAGAACTCCCCGAGAACGAACTTGAGAACCATGGCAAGGTAGATGTTGAAAATAACAGCCAAACTGCCCAGAACCAGATACGCTTTCCGTACTCGTAGACCACGTCTTCGCATCGTTGGATATGATAGGATGAGGACGAAATATGGTATGGCTGAAATACAGGCTAGGCGGTTGGGTAGGAATAAAGTCGCCCAGCACTAAGAGAAGCTTTCAGCACTCACTGACTTACCAAGCTGTGGAAGTGAGAGGTCCATATGTCCACCTGGTTGCGCTACACCCCAGTGCACCAGAATATGAGAGTAAGACGAGGTGAAGACCCGACTACAGCTCGACCAGGTGCTGATGTCGCAGGCTGCGTGATACCCAGGGAATGAATGAATCTGATTGAGCCGAAGAGCTATCGATCTCGCCGCTCGATCACGCCCTACCATAGTTTCGACATATAGCGTGTAAGCGGCAACGCCAATGCCAGCTATCGCGGCGAGAGATAGGAATATCACTCTGTACAGCATGTCGATCCGCTATCACAAAACTGACCTCAGCATAGGTTTTCGGCAGCGCTCCTCAATGCTAGCGGTCAATCGAACGTTCCCCTCGACCGGTCGCAAGCCAAAAACACGTCTTGTCCGATGGAAACTAATTATGACGACACAGTCGTCGCCCTAGCAGCATGGGGTGTCGACATCATAGATAGAGATTGCTCCGATTCGCAGAAGCTTCGGTGGTATCTATGCAACCAGTCATGGACATGGCGACTCGAACGATTGATGCCAAATTTTTACGCTGAGCTATTTCTTGGGGTGGCATAGCTGCCCCATCTAGATAAGTGGATTGGATTTAGACATATTATGGGGTGGCATAGCTGCCCCATCCAGATGAGTGTATTGGATTCAGACATATTATGAGGTAGCATAGCTGCCCTATGCAGATACGTGGATTGGATTCAGACATAATTTCGGGTGGCATAGCTGCCCCACCGCCATGAATTGATTGCATGAAGGTATATCTAGGAATACCATAGTCGCCAGACTCGGACACACTGATTACACTAATATATTATCTCAGGGTGGCATAGCCGCCCCACTCGGGCAAATTGATTGCACTAAGATTACTCCTTGAGAGCAGCAAACTGACATGGAGATAACTCCTTGTTCGATGCGCGTCTGCAGGACGAGTATTGTCCAGTCACTGGACAACACTCGATATCACTGGACTCCAGTGATATCGAATGGCCGAAGGATTAACAGCTCATCACATTCCAGCGCTCACTGGCCAGTCTATCAATACCTCCTCCATACACCCGTCTCATCCAGTGTTGGAGAATATGCACATGGGCAGCTACACAGGATGGTGACAACTTGGAATTCAGGAGGGAACCTCACGAAATTCTTGTTATTCATAATAATTCAGGAAGTGTACAGAAACCAACAAGAATTTTCCTAGAATTTCCATATTAACACTAACGCATGTAGTTGACCATGTGCATATTTTCCCACATAGGTCTTACCCGGAAATATGCATGTGGGCCTAAGACAAGGGACCGATTGAACTTCGGGACGGGCACTACTGTTGTAGGAGTTTACAGCGTGCGCTTCCTCTAGTAGTACGCAGTCACACATAGCGGGACTTAGAGAATGATTACTTCGCGATAGCATTCGTCACTAACTGTAGCCACCTGGCTTAAGTTTCCGCTTTTCTCATCTGTCTCGCGTTAGTCAATGTCGACGTCCTCGTACTCATCGCAACCCAACACTCTGACAACTTATTCCCTACCTGTGAATGCATATATAGGAAGAGGCTTGAGTGTCATCTGAACTGAAGAATAGTGTTGTCATAGAGAAGGCTCTTTCGAGAAAGCCACGAAACTGCTAGCACTAGACTTTCCTATACGAACGTTGACAAAGGCTGTATTCGAATGCAGATTTGGAGGAAAGTATCTTGCCAACTTGCATTCTTACATTTCTCCAGCAGCTGTCCGCCCTGTGTTATCCATAGCTCATAGAAGCTGTGAACGCCCCCCTTCAACCACTAGCACCGTTGTTCTTGAAGCTAGCGTTTTCTCGAAGTGTGTATCGTCAGTAGGACGTTGTTTAGTCACCTCTAAATGCCGTCGGATTCTAAGAACAATTACGCTGCTGTAGCCGCCGCTGCTGCCACCACTGCCGTGGCGGCTGGTGCTGCTGGTTACGCAGTCTACAAGAAGATGCAGGGATTTAACGAGTAATATGATAGAGTCACTTTACTAGTTGATCTGCTTTTAGGAGTGTGCTCTAAATTGCAAGGCCGATAGTTTGAAATTCTCTTCAAGTGCCTAACCAGAATAGAAACCTCTGGGCGTGTTGCTAGTTCCCCTCAGACATTGGAGTTGTGGCAATAACGGTGTTTTTCATTCAGGACGGTCACTGAGCTCCGAGGGAACGTCTCTCGCTTGGAGGAAGAGAACTCTTATCTCAGCCGGCCTGTTGTAGGCAGTATGACCGGTGATGATATCTTGCTCCCAGGTAAGGATAGTACTAGCGCTTTCTCTGGTTCCTTAGTGTTCCCTGGCAGACTACGGTAATTGTTGTTCTCTCAGGTGAAAGCCTCACTTACTTGAAGCCTTCCAATCTTGGTGAGAGGTTCGGTAAGAAGGAGCACACTACTCCTCTCATCCAGAAGTATGAGGGTCAGTTGCATGACTTCCAGGACGAGAACTCGATCGTTACCCAGACTATCTACCGTAACAAGGATGATCACCACAAGCAGTTCTTGCGATATCTACGTGCTGGTCCTCGTGAGAAGCTGTATTTCAATCCTAAAGAGGTCACTGCCGCCATTGTCACTTGTGGTGGTCTCTGCCCTGGCCTCAACAATGTGATTCGAGGACTCACCCAGATGCTCGAGGAGTACGATGTGCCCACCATTTATGGTGTTAAGGACGGTTATAAGGGCTTCAACAAGGACAACTGCTGGGTGAAGCTTGATTCCAAGAAGGTTGAGACCATCCACAGGATGGGCGGCAGTGTATTGGTCTGCAATCGTGGAAATGACGATATCGCTGTCATGGCCGAGGCTATTATGAGGAAGGGCGTGAATATGCTATTCATCGTTGGTGGTGATGGTACCCACAGGGGTGCTGATAAGATCCAGCAGTATATGGTGAAGGCTAACTACGAGTGTGCACTCGTTGGTATTCCGAAGACTATCGATAATGATATTCCCCTCATTGACGATTCTTTCGGTTTCGCAACTGCTGTTAGCGAGGCCGTCCGTGCCATCGAGGCAGGTTATGTTGAGGCTACTGGTGCTCCTAACTGCATCGGTCTCGTCAAGTTGATGGGACGCAATTCTGGATTTGTTGTTCTTCATGCTGTCTGTGCTGCGGCCACTGTCGATATTGCTCTCCTCCCCGAGATGGATATTAGTCTTCCTAAGGTGAGTCGGCTCAGCTCTTCAGTATCTAGCGAAATGGTGAGTGTGAAATCTCTTGTCCCCTTTCAGCTCCTCGACCATATCAAACAGAAGATTGACAAGGATGGCCACATCGTGGTCGTCGTTGCCGAGGGATGCGGCGCAACCCTCATGCAGGCTGACCCCTCTATGAAGGATGCCGGTGGAAACATCAAACTGCCCGATGTCGGTGTTTACCTCAAGGATAAGATCATGGAGTATGCTAAGGCTAACGGCCGTAATGACTGGACTGTCAAGTAAGCTGGTGTTGAAGCACTTCGCTCTCGGAATTGCATTCGTTATCTGTAGGTACATTGATCCCACCTACATGATCCGTGCTGTTCCTGCCAATCCTGCTGACTCTACCTACTGTCATGTACTTGCACATAATGCTGTTCACGGCGCTATGGCGGGCTACACGGGTTTCTCGTGTGGCAAGTGTGATCAGAGGTAACACATTTATCGGTTTACTCGGCTTGGGAGTTCCGTCAATCGTTCCATTTCTGCTATCTTTAGATACGTTATGCTGCCGTTCAAGGCTATCACTGGTCGTCCTCCGCGTCAAGTTAACACTGCCGGCCGATGGTTCGCCAGGATGATCATGTTCACGGGTCAGCCTAGCTTCGTAAGTCATTCTCTCTTCTGCTATACTTTACTCTAACTCACTGGTCTTCCTTCAGCTTCCTCAAGGACATATCCCACGTCATAGTTCCGCTCTCATGCCGCAATAAGATGGCTGCGTGGATCGCACCTTGAGTATATACTCGGTGCCATTCTCTTGTACAAAACTGTCGCTAATGCGAGTAAGCGTTCTTCTCCGCGCGTACTATCCATCGTTGCGTTCATAAGTGTTTGGAAGAGCCGATGCAACTTGCATCATGCAAGATAGAGAACCGTGCCACTGGCTTTCGTGGATGGGGAGGTATCTTCAACGCAGTTCGGGGAAGCATTTGTTGAGATGTTGCGCAGCAAAGTGTAGTGATACTCGGTGTTTCACTCGATTTGGGGATACCTGTGTTAAGCTCAATGTGACCAGAGACATTAGATGCACTGAGGCATATCTCAAGATGGCATAATTGCCCCACCAAGGGACCTTGATTTCACAGAGGCGTACGATCAAGTTGGCAAAATTGCCCCGTCTAGAGACGTTGATCTCACTGAAGCATATGATCAAGTTGGCATAATTGCCCCGGCCAGAGACGTCGATCTCACTGAAGCATACGATCAAGTTGGCATAACTGCCCCGTCCAGAGACGTTGATCTCACTGAAGCATATGATCAAGTTGGCATAACTGCCCCGTCCAGAAACGTTGATCTCACCGAGGCATATCTCAAGATGGCATAATTGCCCCACCCAGAGACATTGATTTCACTGAGGCATACCTTACGGTGGCATAATTGCCCCGCTCTTTTACTACTAGCAAAAACATAACTCTTAAGGTGAATGCTCCGATGCAGTACCGCACAATCTAAGGTAGTTCCCCGAGTTCCTCAACTTCTGGAAGTTAGCGCTTACAAATCAGGCACAGATGATACCTCTTGAATGTGGCGCTGAGGCAGTATCTCGGTGGGACACGGTCCATCAGAGATGGGTTTTGAGGGTGTTCAGATAGGAGTGCAACGGTGCCTAGTTTATAGATAATTCGCGATTTAGATGTCTTTCCGTTAGCGACATTCCCCTCGTGACGAGGGCCTCGTCCTCTCATTTGTTGAGCTTATAAAATCCAGTGTTGCTCCTATTAATTGATGGACTCGAACGACCATGAAGCCAATGGATGTGATACGAATGTTACATTAACACACATTGAGCGTGCAGTTGTACTGTACTGGATTACTCTAGTAGTAAAAGCATCTTCATTACTCAGGTATACGCCTGAGATGGCGTCGGAGGAATGGCTCGGTGAGCTTCTCCATCTGTCTGTTACCCTTCTTCACCTCTATGATCGAGTCCGTTATAAGTGAGAGACCGTAGATTCTGATCAGGGTCCACACCACACCAAGGCAGGCTAATAAAGCTTCCACCGCAGGCGCATTAGAGAGCCAATGCAAGAACCAGACACCGGCCATCTCTCTCGTGGTTCCGTGTTGAGCGAAGGAGTCTAGAGAGGCAGCATAATCGCCAGCGTGGGGGAATAGGAGAACAATGATAAGTGCAGCAGCTACGATCGACAAACCTTCAGCCACTTGAAAAACTCGCACAAGTACGGGAATCTTTGCTCCTATTCCAATTATACCAAGACTTGCTGAAAGCCCCACGAATATACAGTAACACAGACACGTCGTATTATAGAGTTCAAGAAGTTGCAAGGGGACGTGGGCAGAAATGGAATCGCGCAGAGCATCTCTCAGCTCTGTAGCTTGGCCTTGGCCAGAGCCATTGAGGCTTATGACCATCTTCGCTATACAGAGGGAGAGTAAATCGAGACCGTGGGCTCCACCTACATAGCAACGTATACATGCCGTGGCACAGAAGAGAGCCTCCGAGAGACCATATAGGAAGGCCCCGAGTCTAGCAGGCAGACAGAACAAGAAAGATGTCATTCGCATCTTACTGAAGTAATCTGTACTGACAGTACCGCATTAATACAACTTGTGAACACAACAGTAAAGGCCACAGACGATAGAGCGATTCATCATGTGCATGGTGAGAACTATACATCCTCTCAGCTAAAGAGGCTCGAAGTTCTCAAAAGTATCCCGGTTCGGCCCTTTCGCACTGAAGTGTCTACTGACTGCGGCAGAACCGCTCAAGAGGGCCTATGACAAGATGAACTTCCCCCGACTGGCGAAAGGAACTCACCCGCAAAGAGGCAAACATCCTCCCCCAAAAAACAGGTATAGAGAGAAATACTTCCTTATGTGGTAGCGCATCGATCCCCGAGGCATTGTTGACATGGCACTGGTAGATGTAGCCCAGAAGGAGGTAGAAGAACAACATCACCACGATGACTCTGAATAAGCCCAATCGGCCGAGTCAGTTGATTTACAAAATACTCACTGTATAGTGTATACGAAGCCGCCAGCATGATGGACGGTTTGACTTGAGCTGTCACCATGACCCGGTCTAGGTGCAGAGACTTGCGGCGGCCAATGAGAATGAGTCTCCGCACTAGGGACCTGTCGATCACCAACTGTATTGTAGCGTAGATACGGACAACTCTACCCCTCCTAAAGCTGATTTCACCGATTCCAAGGGATGAAGCATCGTGTGAACGGCGCCCTTGACACCGTTCGCCAGGCTGTCCTCAATATTCGGCGGGTCGAAAAGTGGGGGGGACGGTGGAGCTACGCTCGTGTCGTCAGAATAAGCAACGCTCTGTGTGCTCACCACTACGACCTTTTCCCAAATCGCTGAGATGTTTCTTCAGTGATTGATAGTCGTGGTCCGCCGTCAAGCCATACCGTCGTCCTAGGGCGTCAAGTGCTGCGTTCGCTGCTGCTAATCTGCACTCAATCTCAACTTACTATGAATAACAAGTTACTTCACCCTACGTCTGCAAACGTTGTTTGTTGTTGTTGTTATCCTGTACCGTGGCCCCTGGTTCTTGCAAGACTCTCCCCACTCGCGATGGGTGCAGAGCTTGTTGCACTAACTTCGACTGTGACTGAGACACTGGCCGTCCCTCAACTAACCACGCCAGCATCGAGACTACCATGAAACTCAGCTGCTTCATCACTCCCAGTCCAGGCATGTCCTTAAAGCTAGCTTCATGAACACAAATGCCGTGGAACCCCGAGGACCCAGCTGTGAAAGGATGGGTCCCGCAATTCAATGCGAGTAGACGAGCACTTACGAGTGCCGTGGACGCATCGGTAGCTCCTCGCGTTGACTCCGCTACTATCACAATCCTGGGCTGTGATACATGTACCGATACAGTAGTCCACGCCAGGAGAACCTATGTGACCAGATGGTGAAGTACTGTGAGGATCAGGTGACCATCCTCTCCTACCACTGTCTTCAAGCAAGCACGATGCTCCTATCCCAACTGTATTGGGACAAACTGGATCATGGATATTCGTACCACACCGACTAGCACATACATAACCTGATGGGCAAAACCAATTCCCTTTTCGAAGGAGGCAATACGCATATCACCGAACTGTTCACCATCAGCCCCCCTTAGATCGTCCAGGTAGTGCAACTGGGCCGGCTCCAGCCAAAGGCCGCAAGGGTTCGCAAAACAGAAGGGTAGGAGGAGTAGACCCGCTGGCCAATGCCGTGAGTCAAACATATCACTATCATCCAGATAGCAGCGGGGCAATCCGTCACATACCATCTCTTATTGAACACATCACAGAATCGTAGTAGTGGACACCAACACTGTATGTATACTAACCAGCATAAGCATGGAGAAGACTATCTAGCTGCCGCACCGAAAGGCTTTCTACTACATCCATGTAGGTTACCATCAGTCACAGCCTCCTGCAGAGTTCGAGTGAGCTCTGCACTGTGACGTGTGAGCTCATTCATTCGTGATGAAGTAGCCTAAATTCTCAGGCTCGTGCGGTAGAGAAGAGCCTTTCATTACCCTGTATTCTCTTTCCATGCGACCAACGCTGGCGACTACGCGGTCCTTCTCGGTTTCAACCACGCCGAGCTGCTTCCGAGCGGACAATATATGAGGCTTAGTACGGATGATCTCAAAATGCAAAATAGTCTCACGACGACTACTGCGAATATTACCTCGGCCTTGATGTCTAGTAGTTGCCGCGACATCTGCTCGCTGAACCTCTCTTGCTCAGAGATTTCTTTTTCTGCTCGATTATAGTCTCTGAAAACGACACCAGGGAGATGATGCATTTCATTCATCCTTCCATACCTTCGAGCTCCCTTCAAGGAATTACTCTTAGCAGCGTTCTCGCGCTCCAAAATCTCGCATTTTCTCGCCAGATCAACTGCCTGAAATGCGTTATACTCCAGAGTCGAGAACATCAGCAAGAGCATCACCAGGCGGTTGCCTTCATCCAGCTGGTTCGTAGTCTTCCAAATTCCTATCTCGTTCTGGTGCCGTCTTTTCTTAAGCTCCTTCATCTCAGCCAGCAAGGAATCCCTCTGAGCTTCGAGTTCATGAACCTGACCGATGGGGAGGGGCGGTAGGCTCTGCCTCACTCTCGGTGAGGGGAAGAATTTCTCAACACACTACCTGATTGATAGCCTCTGAGCTGACGAATTCGATCTCGTCTGGACCAGGAAGTCCTCCATTTGAGAAAACCCGTTGGGAGGAATTGAGCCGGCGTGGACTGCTGGCTGAGTACAGCATGAATTTCCCCCGACCAGCAGTTGTAAACCGACTTACAAGCAAAGGAAGAGTGGTGACTACGCTCAATGAACTGTTGCGTTGTCTCCATGTGGTAAGAGCCAACAACCTCGAGAAAACCGTGTTGCTGAAGATCTTGACACTCTTGAGCTTCCTCAACTCATAGTAAGCACCATTTTGAAATGCCGTCTCGGTGGTCCGCCACAACGTCTCACGAACCGTCGAGGAGTATCCTCGGATCTGGATCGGCAGCTTACAACACGTCTGGCGACCTGATAGCGGCGTTTTGCTATCTGACCATGTTACAGCCAGAGACATTTCTGGCACTCCTAACCCTTACCATCTGCCTACGGAGACTTCAATTTGAAGTCTTCAAATGGTGCCGACGGTTCAGCTCGGGATTGAGCCTTGGAAGCTTTCAAGGAAGGGAGGGGAAGAGAGCGCCTGTCCAGAAAGTCCACGAGTTTAAAACCCCAGTCGGTTAGCGATATCAAAGGCTACAATCCATCTCCCGAGGAGTACTACTGTGATGTTGAAGGGGCTTGTGAAGACACTATAGGTTACCTGGATACGAGCTTACATGGCTAGTGATGGGAGAGTGCTCGCAACAATACCACTCCACGACGAAGTTCTTTCACTTTGGAAGTGGTCATGGTGTAGGTATATGGCGTGGGGATCTTTGGCCTCGACAATTCGAAGGCTTGTATGATGGGGGATGCCTGTCTATCGTCGCAAGTGGAGTGAGTGTATTTGAAATAGCACGGTACATGATTTCACTTGTCAGCCTGCCTTACAGATAGAGTTGTTGATTGTGAGCCTCGTTGACGTTTTTTTGTGTTGTGAATTCGTACAGTGCTTGGTGGCAGGGTAGATACGACTGCTCGCCATTGAATCTTCCGAAGAACTCGCCAGTACCTCATTTATCATGCAACAGAACCAGCGAGTTCGCATGGCAATGATGCGCGATCAGAAATGGGGTACTGCCTCTCACAGGGTTTGTCCCGATAATGTCATTACCCGAAGCTGAAGCGGCACTCCTTGCTAGCGCCCTACTAGAGCCCGATATAGGTAAGCCTTCACCCCAACAGAGACAGGCATCCCTCACGTCGTAGGTGCAGCGATATTAGCGGTGTTGCAAGGTCAACGAGACCTCGCAGAGTCACCGTCTGTCGCACCTACGTCCACACTGTCACCGTCTGCCCGAGGGGAGGAGGGTCGTCGTCGAGCCACCAAGGCTCTCACTGAGATCGATACCGTCGTAATGAAGAATCTGGCAAGTGAGGTTACTAAGACAGAGGTAGCATCACCGCTTCCTGGTGCACGTATGAGGTCTACTTGTTCAGATCGTGAACGCTCTGATGCAAGAACGCCTTCCCGACCCTCCGATCAGTATCGAGTTCCATCTAGATACCCGGGGTGTTTTTCGTGGGACTGTGTTTGTCAAGTTGGTGCGCTCTCGTCCATAACCGTATACGTCATCAATCAGGTTTCCAACGCAGCGTAGCGCTGCTGCTTGTATGGAGGCTTTCCAGCCTCCTAACAATCCATGCCGTATAGGTGGCCGACGGGTAAGATTCGAAACATACCATACAGGGCAGTGATACATGGTTCAAAAGATACGCATAGAGCTACAACGTAAAGGTCGTCGTGAAAGGGCCTGCACGGCTCGGGATGTGATGGAAGCGTCGTTGAGCAGAGAAAAGCAGGAGGTCGTCAAGAGACTTGTCGACAATTTCCTAGCAAATGACCAGCAGAGGTAGGTTGTGTGTCCTATAGAAGGTATAGGCCGGTGTTTATTCGACATTCGCAATAGATTTATAGTGATAGTGTGTTCGAGTGGTTTAGGAGGTTCATTGGGCGGTGTCTGCGCAGGTTCGAATCTTGCTAATGTCGTTTATCTTGTGACTCTGCTAGGAAGTGTGATGAATGGCGTCGCCTCTGAGTGTGTAGCTCGTATCTCCTTGAACGCTGTTCTCTCTGATAGGGAAGCTTTCCTACCCTCTAACCTGGACGCTGCTCAGAGGAAGTACGCGCACGCCATCGCAGAGAAAGCCGGCTTAGTCCACACAACTCAACTCTCGCCAACAAGTTCCCTGAATAACGATACTTTACAAAGTCGGGGCTTCCTGTGCCTAGAAGCAGTAACTTATTGATTTAGGCGATACCGCTCCAAGATCACCTAAACGTGCGGTATATCTATCGAAAGTAGGCTTCCCAGATGGAACACGCTTCCACTGAATCTACGACTTAGTTCCGAGTGTCTTCTGGTCGATCGAGTAGCAAGAGAGGCAACAGAACAGCAAGTGACATATCTTTCTCCATGGATCTCGATGACTACTCTCCAAAAAGTATCAAGTCAAGGTGAGCGGAAATAAGGAAACATCGTCAGTGGATGGGCCCGTGGCACAGATACTCGGGATCGGGAGGCTCGAGTACTTATATGACACGCTCGTTCGGCCAAAGCAGTGGCAGCAGCGTACGTTATTGCAAGCCTTGTTGGACTACTGCTAGGCATCCTCGTAGGCCTTGTTCGCCTCCGCGTCCTCAACGCAAGGAGATGGTCTTCTACCTTTACCATTCGGCCCTCCGCTGAATACACCTGCAGCAAGGGCCCTGCTCGAGTCGCCTCACTCACCATCTGGGCTAGGTGACGCAAGTAGGATCTGTCTGGGGTCCTCGAAGTAAGGTGTACCACATGTTTCTGATCAGGTTTAAATGACACTAGGACTCTCAAGCTGGGCACTCCATGGCGTGGTTCTCCGACCAATCGATCGGCCTTCATGCCGTCTCCGGGTAAGCCTTTGGTCAGTACCAACGGACGTCAGTCGATACCGTTCCTGATGCATTGGCTTTGGGATGCACCTACTCTACTGTATCGAGCTTAGGTTCACCTGTGGCTGACGTCGCTCCGCCTCCCGGCTTTGAGCATCTTTCTCCTTCCAGGAAAAATCCAACCGGTAAGCATGCTCACTCGTTTGCTTGTGAGTTTAGGCGAGTCAGGTGGAGCGAAAGTTGAGATCGACGCGCAAGTGTTAGATGCTCACATTGCGGGTATCAACAAGAGTCTGACGGCAGACCGCAGTGGACCGAATCAAGCGGCTCATAAATTCAATGTGGGCCGGTTTGTGGACAGCCTTGCTTGGAAGCGTCATTATTTTAGTGCTAGGGTTTATGTCTCCGCCTAGTAGTGTGAAACCGTAACCCTTGATGATCATTTTGTTTCAGCGGGAATCTCCCGAGTTCGTTCCGTCGAAGCCACCAAGACTTGGCCTAGCTCCGCCAAGTGTAACAGATCCGTCTGCAGAAGCTGCTGCGGCCATTGACGAGTCCATTGCGAAGTTGCTCGACAGCTAGCGGGGCGAACTTACTGTTTGTGTATTTCTATTGTTGATACCCAGCTCTGCTCAGTAAGCAGAAGTCACACTTCTGCCTCTCTGTTGTCGAGCAGGACCATTCCATCATTTTTGTTCTATTAAACACATTTTCTATTTCTTACTTGGAATCCGACAAATCAGTCAAGGTTGAGGCGTTACTCTATCCGCACGGCGCACAGCGTGAAAATATTATCCTATTCGAGCAGTCGAGGGCATTCATAATACGGGCATTGGGCAATCTGCTTGTGGCCCGCTGGCTCATTCTGTTGTAGAAAAGTAGCATAGCTAGTGGGAGTACAAAACGATCATTGATGTGTGGATGAGTAGAATGTCTATAGAGTCTATAAATATTTTTTGTTCATTTTTATCATTACGAGCCGCTACGGTGATGCTATATATGCCGGGATGCTTTGCTCCTTGCTGAGTCTGTGGTGGCATGCGTTTAAACCTCTTTTGTCATTTATGTGTACGTAGTAGAACCCTCATCACTGACAATTGCTTCAAGTCGTTACAGAATCCTTCATAGTCCTTCATAGTGCTATTAATAGTAATCATTATAATACTCATTGCCGTTCTTCACTGTGATAATGCGTGTCAGCGACGGATGGCTCAGCACTTGAGTTCAGTTCCATTAGTCGGTGCCACCGTCTGCGAGGGATTTCGAGCGAACTCGAATAGAGTGAACACCCAATACACCTTTCCTTATTATCAACTCCTGAGATAATGGACCAAAATGAGGCTCTATACGTGAGTGATGAAGTATTCAATGAGTATGGATGCAGATGTGAATGGTGACAGTCGTGAATACTATTCATGACCGTCACCATCCACATCTTCAAGTCCTCTCCCAGTTGAGCAAGCAGAAGTGTGTGCTAGCTGGCCCGAAGGCTCACTGTTCGCCAGACGTCGTTGCGTGTTCGGTTGGCCTCGAGACGTTCTCGGTGAATCGCGCATCCCCAGATCTGATCGCCTTCTAAGTGTTCGCAATGAGCTTTTGATAGTAAGGTGACGAGGATAAGACATCACTGCCGGCATCGTGGGAAGATAGTCTGAACCTAATGCAGCGACCACCGGGGTGTGTGACTTATACACTCGAACGCTTACTTGTTACATAATGTAAGTGCTCCTCTCATTAACTTTATTAATAGCTTGAATACCGCGATATTCATGATGAATTTCATTGACTCAAATCAGAGGGACACGCGACTTCAACGGTGAACACTCACTGATCGACATGAAGCGATATGCGCGACTGCTTGCTCAACGTTAGCCACCGTCGGTGGTGCTGTCGTCATCAATGATATGAGCCATGTTGCTTGTGATCTAGAAGTTATCAATGCAGAAGATGAGAGACTGCAGGTACGGGACGAAGCCGATAGGCGTTAAAATTTAGCGACTGAACCATTCTAGAAATGGTTCTGAACCATTCAGCGGTAGAATAAGCTTGTCCAAGTCGTGTCCGCCGTTCTCCATTTCCGTCGGTACCAGGCTTGGAGCTGAAGTGAGTTTTCGAGTGTTATATTCTCGTCAGAACTCTCTGAGTTTCGTCATTAACTGCTCTGGATTTCGAGAATTTCTCGGACGTCTTGTGCACTTGTGTGATGTGATTGACGCATCGTCACTTCACTTGCATCACACAGAAAATTGTGATTTGAGTGAATAGTGCTGCATTAGAACCATTTTCAAATTGTCATCATTTTCACGTTCGCTGAGCTCCGACGACCTATATAATTCATTGTTGCCTCAGGTTATGCGAGTTGTTATAATCATATAAACTCAGAGACTCTAGCCTGATTGCACAGTATCATCATCGGCTGTTAACATCAATGGTTCAGAAAAAGCGAAAATCGCCTCATAGCAACCGAGGCCGCTAAGGAAGGGGAATCCGAATTTGTCGCTAATCATCATCACCAAACAATCATTGAGTATCTCAGATCTTCTCATGTGTGTTCAACGCGGTCAATAACCGCTCGGACAAGAGGTGTCAGAATTATTGAGAAATCATCATAGAAACAAACGTAAAGCTGTATGCCAGCCAATTGACACGCAGCTATACGAAAGCTTGATGCCACCCGCTGGAATTACCATTCTAGGACGAGTTGCAATAACCGCAAAACTCACAGGAGATTGAGTGTGGTTTCCTTTCATCCGGATAACTATTGGAGCCTCAGTGTGCGTTGAGAGAGTATCATCAGAACCTATCAGCGACTCTAGTCTGATAGCACAGAATCATCATAGGCAAAACAATAACGAGTCAGAAGCATGCGAGATTGGCCTCATAGCAACCGAAGCTGCTAAGGAAGGGGAATCCGAGTTGGTCGCTAGTTCATCATCCTCGCAATTACAATGCTGGCTACTCAGCTGCGTCTCATTTGTGTTCAGCGCACAGACACTGTGGTCTGTGCTCGGACAAGAGGTGTCAGATTTAGAGATAATCATCATCGCCAGAATAATGAAGTGTGGTCTAGCCAATTGACACGAGATCATAACAGAAGCTCATCATGCCACCCGCTAGACTTGGTCATAACTTTTGGATGATTTTGAACCGCAATCGTACGTAGAACGAATGAGGTCTTCGAAACATCCGGTCAGCATTCCCCCGCCCCTCGTCGAACACAAGTCCCTCAACTCAACACCAAAGCATGTGACTTGTGTTGCTGCTGGCAACGAACCGTGCGTTGGAAACGGCCAAGGCTCATCACTCGCGATCACATCGTAGAGGAGGATACTTTACTCGGCGAAGGAAAGGATGTTCTTCTCGTGCAAGAGACGGTTGACGCAAGCATCAGACTCACCCTGAAGGAAAGATAATGACAACCACGATTCAGCCTATTCTTAAGTGGTACAGTACCTTGCTCCTCATGTAACCGGCAATGCAGACGGGGTGGAACTCGCCAGTAGCAAGGCCAGTCTTGGGGTCAACAACGGCAACGTTGAACTGAGCCGACCTGAGAAAACACAATATAACCGCACGTCTAGTAGTCACCTATAAGTCTGCGATACGATAGAAAAAGAGGCAACGATGACAACAGAAGAGCCAGAGATCCAAATTTCGATGCATATTACTTGTGGTCGTTAGCGGCGATGATCCTGTTAGTGGCAGAGCACTTACGAGGGATGTACAAGTCGACGATCTTTCCTTGATCGTTCTGCATGGTTGTTTTCGGCAGCAAATCCACACTAGGGTGATGGCGATCGATTCCTCATAGCGCGGGCAGCCGATTTTGGGGCGGAGCGAAGCGTGTCGCGTTTGCTGTTTTTGTCTCCACCGTGAGTCGAGTGACAGGAGGATCGTGAGAGTTGCCTCAAGTATCTCGACAGCACAGCTCTGCATAGGAATTCAACGTCTTCTACTAGTTTTATAAAAGCTCAACGGAATAAGGTGGAATCTTGAGGTCGTGGCGGTTGGATACGGAATAGGTCCGTTTGAGAACATCTTCGTTACAGCCATTTCAGTCGAATCTTTGATACCAAGGGGATCACAAAGAATCTTCACACTTAGCTGAGGCACCTTCGCGTCGTCTCACATTCTTGCAATTTTCATTGACAATCTTAGTTTCTCGCGGTGGTTGTTTGCCTTATGACCACCGCAGCAACTGTGCCAAGCTCCGTCCCAGCAGTCGGCTCGCCGTCGCGGTCTACCAATACTACACCGGCTACCATCGGGCCCTCGATCAATGGTGTTCGGGGGGAGCGGCGACGCCAATATGGACGAGGCGGGACCCAACATCATAATAACCTGAAGAACGGTGCGTCTAGTGTTGCCGTTTCCCCAACGCTAGAGACTGCCAGTACTGTCGGATCAGTGACAGTGTGGAAGAAGGAGGCCCAGGGCCGACCGTATGACCCGTTTTTATTCGCGAATTTCACCCAGGTTGTGAAGACCCATCTAGAGTGCGGAGTGTCTGCTGGCGGTCAACAGCCGGAATCAGCGGTGGATTATTCGCAGCTAGTGGATTTTCTCGTGGGCTGTTATCACAGGGAACCGAAGGCGATGCTGAACCAACCACAGGCGAGGAAAAATGCGCAGGGCCTTAGCGAGATGGAGGAGGCGTTGGTGGAGGCGGAGGTTCGGGATATATTCGCGAAGTTCGTATTTACGTGTATGAGGGCTGTTGACCAGTGGGTACCGGTATATGGTAATAGGAGGCAACCCGAGATGGTGGGGTTAGTGAATCATAGGGAAATGTGCTACCATTTCTTTATGAGCTTTTTCCACCAAATATCGGTGACTTCACCACAGACTCCGGGGGCACTACCGTCACCACAACAAGTCTGTTCTACCTTCCTCATACAGAAGGTAGTCGTATGGATGCTGTCTCATGCTATGGAGGATCTACGGGTTTTGCTTGAGCATCCGAGCGCTCGAATAGCACGGTTCACCGATGGTCTACAGCTCATGTGTGCTGGCATAGCCGAGGACGCGTGGAGGAAATACCTGGCAACTGGTCGAGTCCAGCGTAAGTGTATTGAGATCATCAGCTCCGAACCTTACAATGCGGCAGAAGACCGCCTATATCAGCATCTGAGTGGCTTTTTTCACCATTACACAGTTAATCCTACAACGGGAGAAATTGCATGTTGCCTGAGCGATAAGGTAGCGTCCTTCGTCAACAGCGAATTTCGAGTCTATTTGGTGGACGACTTTGGCTCTTTGATGAATCTCCTGTATCAGTTGTCGAAGCTGGAAAGAATTGCTTGTAATGGTAAGCCTACGGCAATGGCCGTAGACTTCGAGGGCCTTAACTTGTCGAGGGACGGAGCGATGAGTTTAGCTCAGCTGTGTCTGTCGTCGGACCCAAGGAGTGTTTATGTAGTGGATATTACTAGGCTGGGCTTCCACGCCTTCCATGCTACTACTCATACCGGCACATCACTGAAGTCTATTATGGAAGACTCTCGAATAGAGAAGGTCTTCTATGACCCTCGCAATGACGTTGATGCTCTCTACTATCAATTCAATGTGGCCCCTCAGAATGTTTTCGATCTCCAGTTGGCTGAGGTAGCCTTACGACGAGCACGAGGGCTCACTGTACGCTATGTCATTGGCCTCTTTAAATGCCTCATTGCTCAGCCTGAACTTTTCACTCAGCCGGCTATGAAGGATTTTGCTCGGAGGATCAACGATGCTGGAAAGGCCCTTTATGAACCTACGCATGGCGGTAGCTTTAAGGTGTTCACCCAACGGCCGCTGCATACCAGCATTATCGTATATGCATCTCATGACGTTCGCTATCTACTACCTTTGAAAGACTTGTTCACTAAACGACTGCGAGAGGCCGGTGGTGACCTGTACGACAGAGTGTGTAAGGTTAGTACTGAGAGAGCTCAGTGGTATAAGAATGTCGAGTACGTTAAGCCCACTTCAGAAGCGCCGGAAATATAGATATCGCAGCAGTGTGATAACCTCGTCAGCATCTGGTCATAATTATCTCTTTGGGCCTATCCTCAGCACGTACCTCCTTCTGAAAGGTCGATCAGAATTCTGATCCTACAGTTTGACTTCCTCTGTAATACTTCAATTTCTGCACCGAACTGTAGGGAGAGTTTTCTAAGGGGGTTGCCACCACGGCCTGTCGTTGCTATTTTTGCGTTAACTTTGGAAAGACGTCACTTCGGTTTACGGCAAACGAGGTCGAGCAACGATGTTTTCAATGGCGACTCTATACTGGCTTCTATTTGGTCTGTATCTTGGCGGTGCTCAGAAGCTTGCCGTCTATGATTAGATCTATCCTTATCGCATTGTTGTAACATATCATTGAGGGGGCCGGTTTGGTGTTCGTATGTAGTAGGATGATGATGAGTATGAGAAGAAGCAGATGCAGCCATTATGCTATCATTTATTTCCTCTCCGTAGTCAGTAGCTATTACAGCAGTGCCGCGTTAGATCATTCATGCATGGACTTGCCTGCCGTTTGTAGTTTCATGTCGGCACGGGATCATGCCTCTCCTATTGCAATTCCCATCCTAAAGGACTGTTCGACAATATCGGCACCGACCAGCTCATCCGAGAGGTACTCCTCACAGCAGCATCAGCAGGCTCGGGGGTCACCTGGACCTTCGTGGCTGGCAGCGGCTCAGCTATGCCCGGTAGCGCCATTCACGAACGAATGTCATTCTTCAGTGGAGACTGCACGGATCACAGAAGAGGTCGGTGCTAATTCGGGTCACTCAGAATCGACTGAGGCAACAGCGACAGAGTCATCGAGTAGGGTGGTAGTGGAGAATCGGCTGGACGGAGGGTCCTACGATGGGCTCCTTTCTGTGACCATCGGAGAGTGCCTCAGAATGCATCTCGAGCCGGCGGAATTGGATGATGTCCCGCAGTCTTTGGAGGACCATGGTCCGCTAGAAGAACTATTACTCAGTTGTTACTATGCGGACCCGGACGCTTACCTCAACTCGTTAGATCCGACTTGCAATGTGCAGTTATCTGAGCAAGAGAAGGCGTTGGTGGAGGCGGAGGTTCGGGATATATTCGCGAAGTTCGTATTTACGTGTATGAGGGCTGTTGACCAGTGGGTACCGGTATATGGTAATAGGAGGCAACCTGAGATGGTGGGGTTAGTGAATCATAGGGAAATGTGCTACCATTTCTTTATGAGCTTTTTCCACCAAATATCGGTGACTTCACCACAGACTCCGGGGGCACCACCGTCACCACAACAAGTTTGTTCTACCTTCCTCATACAGAAGGTAGTCGTATGGATGCTATCTCATTCTATGGAGGAGATCCGCGTCCTCGTCGAGTATCCCGGGGCCCGTACTGCTCGGTTCACTGACGGTTTACAGGCTATATGCACTAACAGTGCTGAAGACGCCTGGAGTAAGTACATAGCAGCTGGTGTCGTCCAGGGCAAGAGGATCTCAGTGGCAATGTCATTGACCCCAGCAACGGAGGAGGAAAGACTCTATCAGCATTTGAGTGGCTTCTATCATCACTATGTGGTGGACCCGACTACAGGCGAGCTTGGCTGCTGTCTGAACGATAAGGAGGAGGATTTCCAATATGCTGAGTTCAGAGTTTACTCTGTTGATGATTTCGGCTCTCTGATGAACTTGCTTTGCCAGTTATCGGACTTGAGCGAGGCGGCTGAGGCTGGGGAGCAGGCCGCGATGGCCGTAGACTTCGAGGGCCTCAACTTGTCGAGGGACGGAGCGATGAGTTTAGCTCAGCTGTGTCTGTCGTCGGACCCAAGGAGTGTTTATGTAGTTGATATTACTAGGCTGGGCTTCCACGCCTTCCATGCTACTACTCATACCGGCACATCACTGAAGTCTATTATGGAAGACTCTCGAATAGAGAAGGTCTTCTATGACCCTCGCAATGACGTTGATGCTCTCTACTACCAATTCAATGTGGCACCTCAGAATGTTTTCGATCTCCAGTTGGCTGAGGTAGCCCTACGACGAGCACGAGGGCTCACTGTACGCTATGTCATTGGCCTCTTCAAATGCCTCGTTCAGTCCGAAGTGTTTGTCCAGCCGGGGCTTCGGGAATTTGCCATGTGGATAAACGACATCGGAAAGGCCTTGTTTGAACCCAAGCATGGTGGCAGCTATAAAGTGTTCACTGAACGCCCCTTGCATCCAGGCATCATCGTCTATGCCTCACACGACGTTCGCTATCTCTTGCCCCTATACGATGCCTTTCACCAAGCAGTTGAAGTGTGCTGGTGATAACTGGTATAATAGGGTAGTGGCAGCAAGTGGTCGTCGGGCTGAATGGTACCAACATTCTGACTATCTAATCGCGACATCGGAGGCTCCTGTTATTTAATATCCAAACGTTCGCTACTGAGGCGTAGGCAGGTGTTTGCAGTATCCTACAGCCTGCTGGAGCCAGGCGAAAGTGATTGTTGCAGGGTTATTTCATCGCGCTGTGAGCACTCTCTGGGTGGGACTATAACATTTCACGTCGAAGTCGATTATTGTTGGTGGTCCACTACTGGTTAACATGCTTTTCTACTGCTGTCATCGACATCGTCTTTGCTTTTCTACTGTCTCAAGGACTTCAGCTGCATCGGTAGCATTCCACGTTATCTTATCTGCGCATTATAGTAACATTATTATTCTTGATAACTACTTGTCACAATTTGATCATTAGTTCTAAATCCCCAAATTTGTTGTGTTGTCGTCTATACGGGGTTCCGCTGGGGTTTCCAGTTAGGTAATGATCGGCGTCCAGGGTCAGCAGGGCGTCTCAGCAGTGTATGCATCCCCGCAACAACCGCAACAGGTGAGTCGGGAAAGGTGTACGCACAGGTGGTTAGCTGAAGTAGTTTAGGTCGGCATTGATGTCAATGGCGATGGTCGGCCGGATATCATGGTGCCGGTTGGAGCGCAGGTGATTCTGCAGCATCAGCAACAACAACATTATCAACCACAGGTAGATTCAGTTCGGACGTTCATGGAGTGATCACATTTCTCAGCCGCAATACGTGGTTTATCAACAGCAGGCAGCAACGGTACCGATTGTGTCCCCTCAAGTACAGGTGGCGACGTTATCAGGGATGCTTATGGTTCTAATAGTAATCGTCTTAGATATCGAATCAGTCGCCTTACAGCCAGTCGCAGCCTGTCTATGCTAACCCATACGCCCAGTCTCAGCATCAACAACAGGCTCAGGTGTACGGCAGCAGTCAGTACGCTCAGCAGCCTCCACAGCAAGTGCAGATGTCGGTTCAAAGTAACAAGAAAAATGGCAAGGACGACACTGATGGTAGTAGTAGGGTGCGGTATCATTATTTTCATCAAGTCGGTCCTGTCAGACCACTCGGCCGGCTGTGCTTGTTGCGCTTGCCTCATGGTCATACCATGCTTTGCAGCCCTCGGGGCTCTACTCGGTAGCATGTTCGGAGGCGACATAGCTGAGGTCATTGGCTCACTCACCACTTCCTTGTGTAGTTGTTGGACTCTCAGGCACTAGGGGACGCTGCTGATGCCATTGGGGATGCTATCACATAGAGAGTATCATCTTAGTTGTTTTTATTCCACAACTTGGCCCTTGGCATTTTTCCATGTCCACGTGAACTCTGTTGTCTACTGAACCCTGTCTTTGGTTGTACAAGCTGAGACTGTCAACATGGATTTGCTAATCACCGTATTGTCGAACAGTTGTCACCTTTTTTTGCTTCTTAAACTTGGGTGACAAGTGCCCTAGCCTGACTAGCACAAGAGAGATGCTCTTCTGGTGCCGATGGTCTTGACTGGATGACCGCAGCGGCACCAACCCTTATATCGAGTTGGGCTTGGGGCTCTGTGGTAGCGTGCGGATTCTGAGGGAGGGAAACCCAGAGTAAAGTTCCGGGATGTATGCATCTTCCGGGCTGGAAGAGTCCACCAGCTGCCGCCGCCGACTGAAGAAGAGCATTATGTAGGTAGTATTGGTTGATTCTGGCTTATCGTCGTTAGATATTGCTTGCCCGGCCTGACAGTGGGTAGATGTGTGCTGTTAAGTCGGAAAAGTTTGTGGCCTGAAGAGCAACGCTATAACGTGGCTGTTTCAACGTGTCATCTTTTCAGAGAAGTGGTGACGGCTAGTTCGTTGAGTGTCTATAGCGATCCATCCACTCCACCGTACAGTCTCAGTCAAGCCTTTATATATGTCCGAGGATGCTCTCTGGCAATCATGGGAACTTCGAATCGGCCGACAAGCCCACGTCGCCGTACGGAAACACAAAACGGAGTTGCGAGCTCTTCGCGGAGACTTAGTCTCATCTGTATGGGCTCGATATCATCATGCTGTTGTACAACACTAGGCGTCACAGTGTTATATGCTATTCGGAGGTCCTCGAGGGCGTTCCTGACATGGCCTGGGGCAAGTAGGGCCCGCTTTTGGCGGTCTTAGAATTCCCTCGAGGACGACGTGAATCGATGTTGGCAGGTTCATCGAGGTTATAGAAAGTGGGCGTCCGATGGTAGAGGGATGGCTCTATGGTCCCGTTGAATCTTAGAAATCAGGTACGTATGGAGGGAGTACTGGCAGTCAATGTTTTGCCTGAGGAAAGCGTTACTAAAGGTAGAGTATAGCAAGATAGAGTGCTGTGAGAATTCCTTGGTCAACTTGGG